CTTTACTAAAATTACTATCTCATCCCTTTAAAAAATGACTTTGATCCATGTAACTGAATAAGTTCTGATCAGGTGTATCACATTGTTGATTTTTCTTGAAACTCATGAACTCAATTCAAGCATTAATATTAATATTCTCAATTATCGCGTTCTTAAAAAAGCTTAGAAATATTTATTACGTGAAATTTTAATTTTTGCATAAATTAATACCTGATTTCTTTAGCATTATAGTTCGATAATATTATAATTCCGATCTAATTATACTGTGAGCTGTGGAAACGTTATTCCGAAGGAGGTGATCGAAGTGGCACAGAACGGGTGTGTCAATCACCTACTTAATATGGGCTTCCCAGGATTATCGGTCCTAAAAGTCGTTTACAACTAATAGAGGGAATAAGGGCAATAAGGGAAATAGATGCAAACGATGATTAACGGGTTATATAAGAAATACGGTTTTAAGTAATAAAGGACATTGCAGGGGTATATGAGGGATAATATGTTTAACATCTTAAAGAACGCATATGTAATAGAGCAATATATAATAAAGGCTTCGTGCCCTACAAGAACAATTCAGTTTGTGTTTATTATAAAAGTTGCCCAAATAATTGCTTTCGCTACATTGTAAAACCTACGATCATAAACACATCACTCCAAATCTAACCGCCTCTTATCGACTAAGTCGTCCGTAGGTTACACGACATATCCGTTTGAGAAGCGACTGACTCTCGTGTCAATACGGGCGACCATCCGGATCCAGCTTGGTACACATTTTCCAGGTGTGAATCCAATACTTCGTGACAAATTGTAACACATAATACCCAAATTAAGCAATACATATCAAGTCACACGTATTATGTAAATTAAAATCAGGCCATTTCAAACGTATTGATGCTCAAAAAAAATTTACCATTTAAACAACCAAAAACAGCAGAGATAATTTATCATTTAAACAACCAAAAACATTTTACCTACGTACAAACGCAACAAACATGCTTAAGCCTACATACAAACGCAACAAACATGATTAAGTTTATCGTTTAGACCAATCAAAAACGGTTAAAACCACAAACTCATGTTTAAATTAGAGAGATTATGTACAGTCGGGCCCACCTAAATGCATCCCCCTTAAGTGCATGACATATTAATTTTTGACCAAATATATACTAAACTCCCATAAATGTATTTTTTTATTATTGTTCTCTATGATACGAATTTAGGCCATAAACCAATCAAATCGAAAATTTTACACATTGATATTTGAAATGCCGTATAACTATACACTCAGTTCCTGGTATTATAACCATACACTACACTCAGTTCCTGGTATTCTATATTTATCTTACTGTTATCCAATAATATTCCAGATTTTGTATTCTAGTTTGTTAACCTCCGTTCCTGGTATTACTTTTAAAATACCCCGATCACTATATCAAGATCACTGGATATTTAGCAAAAATACCCTGACCGTATGTGTACAAGCGGAAACTTCGTTTCCGCTAATACCCAACGGATCAGGATATTTTTATTACTAATAAATAATATGATATTGGAGGGTTTTTTTTATGTATTATATGAGTGCGTGAGAGTGAAAACCTAGAAACACATTTAATGATTTACTATGATTGGTTACAGGCTTTCACTCACATTCACTCATATGAATCATAATGATAAAGTATAAAATAAAGCATGTTTCCAAGAATAAAAATGGATCTAAATATTCTAAATTTAATCGATAGTCTAACCATGTATAGACATTCATTTGATTTTTTTCTGATTTTCATCATTCTTTTTTTCATAACTATCGATGCAAAACGTCATAAAGTTTATCATTATCAACCTACCAAAACATGTACTGTCACAGACATTACCTCTGAAACCGTAACAACTACCATAGACTGCTCAACTACGACACCTACATTATATTCTTGTCCTGATAGTTTACAAGTTCCTGAAGAATGTGATAAATGTGAACAAACCACAACAACAACTTGCACACCTACTACAACAGTGTGTGCTCCTACAACAGTTCCTACAACAGCGTGTGCTCCTTTTATTTCTGAAGATATTTGTTGTGGTTCTAGTGGTCCTGCGAGAAATGGTTCAATTGCTAATACTGGAGAATCTTATTACAGTTTTAATACGACTTCTCTAGAAATCTGTTGTCAATCATGTTACGCGGATTGTAATTGCATTAACTATTTTTTTCTTTCAACCAGAGACCAAACTACTTGCTTTTTTTATGGAGAGTCAGGCGTTACGTGTGGCGATATATTCTACAAGTCACCAAATCCAAATTCACAGGATGGAACTGTAGGATGTGGTTTTTGTAGAACATAATTTTAGGAATTTTATAAATTATATTAAGCATATACATATTAAATATGTACTAAATTGCTTTTTATTTAAATGATATTTTTACCTTTTGCCAGAATCACCTCGTAATGCAATTTATTTGAGTTATTTTAATTACATATGCTAGAAATTGCGCATGTAGATTGCTTTTTTTTTTACAAATAGCTACTTACAAATATTTCCTTATTCCGATATTATTGCGCATGTAGATTCTTTTTTTTTTACAAATAAAATTAAATAGTTATTTACAAATATTTCCTCATTTTGATATTACATATAGTTATACACGAGAGTTGGTTACCTATAATCACAGGAATCTCCTGCTTTTTTTGAAACATAAAAATGTTTTTACTATCTATATATTAAAATTTTAATTGTATAATATAAGAATTATTATTATTATTTGCAGTCATTAAATCCTGTAGACAATAATTTTTTATCTGGCATGATTTGATAACTCGATCTGATCGTTACTATGTGTGCTATGCATTTAAAATTTGACCAGCAGATTTTCGATTTTGATTGGCTAACCATGTGATAATCCTTATATCTACTATATAGCAATAGTTTCTTGACAATTATCAGATTAATATAATAAATTTTTTTATTTTAATTTTACAAGCGCATAAAATTATAATAAAATAAAAAAATTTATGAAATTTGACCGTATAAATTTTGAGAAAACTTTAACTAATGCTTTAAAAAAGCATTAAAAATCTTAAAATTCAGATAAATGGCAATGATTATAATTTTTTAGTATTTAAATAAAAATATCTCAATAATTACAGAGTCAATTTCAGTGAAATTTGTTTATTTAACTTTATAGATTTGTCAAATTAAAATAAATAAATTTCATCAAATTTGATTAATTAAATAATCAAATTAGTTAAAAAAAAGTTTTTTTTTATAAAAGATATTAAGCTATGAATGAATTTTTCTCAATGCATACATGACAAACAGATAAAAATGTTTTATTTTAATTTTAATTATACCAGGAATGGAGTACGAAGTATGTAGTGTATACCAGGAACAGAGTTTGTACAACGTACAACGTACAATGTAGTGTATGTTCAGATGTGGATGTACAAAATCTTGGATCTGATTGGATGATCGATCCTTGTGACTTTATCTCATGATTTCTGAATTTGTGCTTGTATTTAGACTTTCTTATTTAGGGGGACGTTTAAAGCCTGGCACCTTCCGGTTTTCCTATTTTTAATTAATATTAAAGGTTAGAGTTATACATAGGCTAGAAGGTTAATATATATTGTAAAATCATATTTCTGACACTTTTACTTAGTGCATCAAGACCAGTTTTGATAGCCATTTTTGATATATTCGTGTTTTTGGCTTTGGCGGGTTTTTCGGAATAATGCGGGAAATTTATCAGAAAATTTTGTAAGGTTCCAGGCTTTAAATGACCCCTTATTTAGTCATTGATTTGAACATGGGTTCTTACTATTTATTATCGTGGCTTTTTGATTGTCATGTTATTACCTGTTTTATACAAGATTCCACCTGTATTATCAATTTTGTTATGCAACCTTTTTACTATTTTTATGCCTTTCGTTTTCATTAATCTACCTTATTTCGTTTTCACCATTATAATAGTTTACTTTATCTCAGTAGTTTATATGCGATTCAGATTTCGATGTGCGAAATCTTGGACCTGATTGGATAATCAATCCTTGTGACTTTGTGTAGCACTCTGAACAATGCTAAAAAGGATGCAAGATTTGCTTGATATATGATGAATGGAGTGCAACTAGTTTATATAAACCTATGTAGGTATCTTATTTGTATATGTGCATGCATTTCTGATTTAAAGTCATGTCTTGTATCTAATTGTTTTATTCCTGATCTTACAGGTTTTGACTTCTTATACATCACATAATGTCTATAAAAAAAAAACTTGATTAAATTAGATTTGATAAAATATAACAAAATCAAATTATGTCTTGTTTTTGCTTATGCCAGAAACAGAATGCAATGAAATGCATTGTTTTATGATGAATGAAATGTCTTTATGTTATATATGATCATAAAAATTTATTTGTCTTTCAGTGATCTGTACCACTATACATCACATGCCTAGTAATGTGCTATTTATATAATACCCAAATTTTTTTCACATACAGTCTGTACAATGCATATCTAGCAATTTGATTAGCTGATATAAATAAAGATAAATAGTAAATTAAGCAGTATAAAAACACAAATTGGAATGGACATGTGGAAATCATGACAATATGTATAATTTGTAAAAGAAAAAATTATTTTGAAAAAAGTCAATTTTCCTATAACCTCATACAAAAAAAGAAGAATGTTCACACTTGACCTAACCTTAAATATAAAAATAGTTTATTTGTAAAGGATTAGGCTTTCTCTTCATTTATATGAATATGTGACAAATCATTGATGTGATGAGTAAGCATTAGCTAAATAATTATATTAAATAATACTTATTAGTTATATTCAATAATTCATCATTTAATGTTCTAAATAGATAATAGATTTATAAAAATTAATTTTACAAATCTATGTTAACCATACCTACTATCAAAATTTTATTCAATTTTCATATATCTATGTATATTTATACAATCATATAATACTACTTTACTAATTATCTTAGAAAAAACTAGCAAAAATTTTGTGTACAGTATCTACAGTTTGGAATGGGTTACTGCACAGCTTGCAGCATTATGCTACCTAATCAGAATTATACTAATTAGCTACAATTATCTAACTAACCTAAATTTTAAAAGACTTATTGTACAGTTTTTCAAAAATTCTGCCATATACAATACATAGTATACTGTATATATAACACATCACTATATACCCAATAGTGCAACAACCTATATAATTTGTTTACTATATGCAATACCAATACTTTTTATGTCTTCTGTTACTAGTTTTGCTTGACAATGTTGTATAGCTATCTTATAATTATACAGAAGATAAACTGTTATGTACAAATATAGACTTCTGATTTGATATAGTTCTAAATAGTATGGTATCCTGGTTTATATCTTGTTTATTTAGCATATATTATATATTGTAAATAGAGATGTGATTATACTGATATAATAAAAATAGTAGCATAATATCAGGTATTAATACTATATAATATTATATACCATGATATAACTACTACTATGCTTTTAATTTAATATTGTCAAAGCTAAAACAATATCTAGAAAACCTAAGAAGTGATCAACATTGTGACATACTTACATAATTAGTTGTGCCCAAAATGATCTACTTGAAACATGTGTATCTGGCTCTAAGAAAGCTATATGACAATATACAGCCTTCATGTAGGACCTTATCACCTCTTTCAATTTAGAGATGGATTGGTTTCAAATCAGTCCTATCAGTTCTAAACAGATTGCAAGTTTTTAAAATCATTTTTTTTTATAAGCCACTAATTAAAGTTATTTTAAACAAAATTTTAATTGTATTTATTTATTGAAAAAAAGTGATAAAGCTTTTTAAAATCCAAAATCTTTTAAAATATAAAGATTAAAACTAGTCTTGGAACCGATTTAAAACTAATACAATCCTATTTGTTTAAGTAGGTCTGTCATTATTTCTCAATAGGTAAGTACTATTAAAAATTTGTTATAAATAACTTTAATTAGTGGCTTATAAAAAAAAGATGATTTCAAAATCTGCAATCTTCTTAGAAACAACAAACCTGATTTGTAAACTGATTCATTACTAATTTCAATTAAAGAAAGCTTGACCTGAACCAACCTGTTTGTGCTAGAAATAGATGTTGACTCAACTTGTTCTATATAGGTTAGATGTGAAGTGATGTTAAAGAAGATGCAATTGTAGTCAATATGATGTGTTTTAGCCTCAGAATAGTAAAACTGAACCATTTCTCATCAATTTAATAATTATTATAAGAAATGTTAAAGTAACAAAAGGTTGTATAAAAGAGATTAAAGGTTAGAACAAAAAAAGATTAGAAATTAATAGAACCAATAAAAAGAGTTGTAGTCTTGTATATGCTCTTCTTACAGTTAATTTATTATAAAGAGAATAGAATTTTTTCTTTTTCAAAAAATAGTTCAGTTCTTGCTTATAGTTTAGAGTAGTATAATACTATAGTCTCATAGTTATATTTTCTTTACAAAATAATAAAATTATTAATAAAAATCTTTTAAATTACTAATATAATAATATTCATTAAAAATTATAATATTATCTTTTTTTTATTTATTTTTTTTTATTTATTTTTTTTTTATTTATTTTTTTTTATTTATTTTTTTTTTATTTATTTTTTTTTTATTTATTTTTTTTTATTTGTTTTTTTTTTATTTAATTATTTTTCTATTTATTTTTTTTTTATTTAATTATTTTTTTATTTATTTTTTTTTATTTATTTTATTTTTTTTATTTATTTTTTTATTTATTTATTTTTTTTTTATTTATTTTTATTTTTTATTTGTATAATATCAAGTAGGAAAAATAAGAATACATTTATATATTAATTGAATATGAATATATAACTAAAATATTATTCCTAAACTACACTATTGTTGTTATATATTATATCATCTAGTGTGATATTATCCTTTAGCTTTTTGCTTTTAATTGATTTAATTGACATGAACTTAACTATAGAAAGGATAAAAGGAACCCTTAAGATTATTTAATTAGTAAAAACAGATATGTATAGTGAAGTTTTAAGTAAGAGTTTTAGAAATAAGAGATCTATATCAGTGTTAAAAGTGAAAGTAATATTGTTAGAATTTGTAAATTGAAAAGTAGGCAATCTAATATAGTTTTTCTTTTTAGTAGAGAATGTAATTTCTCATAATAATTCCCATTTATATTGTTTAGTATTATGGGTTTGCCAGATAGTAGAGTTAAACCAAGTAAGTAATAAGTTAGATAAAGAAATAAAAAAATTGTTAGTTTTTTTAGAGTGAATTTAAGCTGGTTGTATTAATTAAAAGTTATTGAACTCT